TCAGAAAAAAAAAAAAAAATCCCAAATGTTTTTGCGTGGGATCTAAAAATCTTTGTCTGGCGTTGGGGCGGCGTAAGTGTATTTGTTTGCCCCCAGCTGACTCCTCTGCAGACCTCCCGTATAAACAGTACCGGTGCCATTAACAGCTGAGTTCATGTGCAGTGTGTGTTTGGTTTGGCTGTTTTATTATTGTAGGAATGTGGAAACGCTCCTGGATGTTTGAAGACGTCCACCCACTGAGGGCAGGTCAGTTATTGGAGGTCACTTCAGTAAAAAGAAATATCTCAGTTGGTCGAGTGAGTTCAAATGTTTGGTCCAAACATAAACCATAAACGAACAGAACGTCTGAATCTGCAAATATACACTGATGTTTTCGTAAATACACCTTTCTAACCGTTGATAAATGTATGACATTAATGGTGAAGTTTTTTACTGTGACCAAGGTCAAGGTTCAAGGAAAAAGCCTCAGCATCCAAGCTAATTAAAATAGCATATAGACTAGGGATCACGACACGACTTTATCACTTTTTTTTTTTTTTAAACAAAATGTTCCTCCAGTTCCTTTCTTTAACACTGTTTCAACACCTGAATTGTTTTTTAGTTTTTAGGCGCCACCTACTGTACTAGAGCGTGTAGTGTCATGGTATGACCAGTGACTTTTTGAGCCAATCGACCGACCAACCAACCAATTGAACCGTCTCGCACATGTATCGATTTTCAACCGATTCACGATGCATCGTTACTTCCTGGTTCTCAAAGTATGGTGCACCTACCACTTGTGGTGACTCTCATTGGGATGAGGAAATTAGTGAAAGTAAAGGAGATGTGGTTAGTGTACTTGCCTAACAGCAAAAAGATTGCTGGTGATGATTTTACATAAATATAAGATTATACCTGAAGCATCTCAGGAGCCACTGCTGTGAAGTCATTCTTGTTCTTTCTTTGGTGGGGGGGGGCGGGGAGGTTATAGATCAAATCCTGACTGCCTCCTCGTCTGAGTGGTATTGATGCTGCATTCAGGAGAACACAGCTCCAGCTCCAATATTTCAGTTTAAAAGCCCACGGAACTCGGTGGGTTCCTGTTGTTCTCCTGCGGTCGATGCTGTCGCTCAGTGGCTGCTGTCGACAGACTGTGGCGTCGCTTAAACCTATTGGGGTTATTGACTCCACCTAGTGTTGCCTTTTAAAAAAAAAACAAACAAAAAAAAATAGTTAAACATTAGAATGAAGTGAATGAAAGTATTACACCGTCATCGGCGTATAGCACAACGTTTATCTTCCACACATTTTTACTGTCGGGAAGAAATCAATTCATATTTTACTACATAATGTGAAGGCTTTATTTTCAGTCACATGACAGACAACATTTTTATTGGGCAGCCAGTTGTCCAGCGGCCTTGTTGCTAACGTTATAACCTGTTTGTTTTACAGTCATTATGGTGTGGGGTTGATTTTTATTTCTCCCTGGTTAAACATTCTCTGTCACTGGTTTGAATCCCCTTCGTTGCCCAGTATCATTAGGTTGTTGGTGTAAGAGACGGCATGAATAATTCACTGTTTGGCAGATGGCGCTGTATTTGTGTTTTTTATTTTTTTATTTATTTTTTCTCTCTAACACGGCTGTGCAGCTAATGGCGAGCTCGCATCGTGTCATCCTACGAGAATGTATATTTCTGTGAGATTAAAAGGTTTATTCTGTCACACACACACGCACTCTGTTGAATTGATTGTCTGAGAACAGGCCAAGACAGACACTAATCGGCAGCGAGTGGGATTTTCTCCTTCAGCAGAGCTTGGCGTCACGACAATAAGTGAGATTTGTGGATCCGACTGTTGTTGCGGTGTCAACACCGAGTGGGAAAACGGCAGATGTTAAAATCAGACGTGAGGTTGTGAAGATTTTCACCGGAGAAGCATTGTTTCAGGCGCGTTTGTAGCTCCAGAAAGGAAACAGATTTAATAATAATAATAATCATTATTATTATTACTGTATTTTCTGGACTGTAAGTCACACTTTTGTTCATCATTTGACCGAATTTTCTGGACTATAAGTCACACTTTTGTTTATCATTTGACCGGGTTTTCGACTTATACTCTATACATTAAAATATATAATTTCACATGTTTGTTATTTTCACACTGACGGCCAACAGAGGCTGTTACTTCTGTGCCTCTAAAAATTTTTTATTGTTTGTTATTTTCACACACTGTAAGTGGTTCCATATTGTCGCAGTTAGCAAGAAAAATCAAGGGTTAATTTGTTTGTGTTTATTTCTACGTTTGTTTACCAGAGAGACGTGCTGAAGGTGAAGTCGGGCTGGAAGAAGGTTACGTTTTAATATAAATGTCACGGATTATTCCAGAAACCTATTGAGTTGTTGAATGACAATTAACTTTGTCGTGACATCCCTCCTCCTCCTCCCCCATCACCTGGCAGACCAACACCCTGATTAAATATGCATGGGTTTCACAAGCCTTCCAGATAATGAAGAAGTCCAACCTGCTGCAACTGTTTAGAGGAAGTTTTCTTTATCTTTTTGTATTCTCTGGTAAAGGCTTGTCGCACATTTGCATGGGTGTGTGTCGGTACAGGTCACAGAGTGGAAGATGTGGTTAGTGTTCTTGCCCAACAGAAAGAAAGTTGCTGGTTAAATTTCCTGTTTTTGGTTTTGATATTGAGGTTGTGCCACTTGCCACATCATTCTGCCTTTAAAGGCTTTAGTTGTGAAAATGTGACAGTGATCTATTTCACACGTAATACATGGTGTGCATTTATGTATTTTGTTATTTTTTATATTTATAAAATTATTTTTTATTTTGTGATTCCAATTTTGCCATATTGATGATGTCAGTGGATCGGTTCGTTTGATTGGTTGCAGCTTGAATTTCGGGGAGTAAGAAATACGTCTCGGTTTTTGTCTTCAAGGTCAAAGGACAAATGGACAAATAAACAAAGAAACAAAGAAATTCTCAAAGTATCAGTGTAACAAAAAAAAAAGTTAATCAGCCACAGTGTGTTTTACATGTGAACACATTCTTTCATCCTGAAACAGATGACTCTGCAGAAGCCACGTTAGCCCGAGGCACGTAGTGACGGGAGGAACGAGCAAACACTCTCCACGTCTGACTGTTTAACCACAGAGTTTGTTCAGTCAGGCTCAACTTTCAGCATTTAATCACCACTGAGGAAGAGGAGAAGGACTGAGAC